ATTGTAGAGTCGTATGTTATGAATAAAAAATATAATTAGCCATGTAAACATTTTTAAGTATACAATGGTTAAAACATTTTCTTGTATTTAACTTTAACTTTGATTGAAAAAACATCTTAAGTACAAATAAAATAGACATAATATTAATAATTTGAGCTAAGATCAAAACAATGTTGTTTTTGTAAAATCGATATATATATATAAATTTAATTCTATAAATTTTAAATCAGCTAAATTTTTTTTCCACATGTACATACATCAGCACCGCAAATGGAAAACTCATTCCCTTTACGGTTGTATGAGAATTGACCGTATTTTAAAATATCATGGAGTAAATTCAAATTTATAGGTAGTTCATGTGATTTTTAGTATTGTTCAATAGTTCGTGTATGAATAGACAGACGTTGCTTAGTTCATGAGGGAATAAGTTGTTTTCTCTTCTTTTGTCTTCTAATTACAAAATCTATATCAATTAATTAAATATTCGACACTTGATCTGTGGATTAGGTGATAAAGCTCCAAGATGATCACGCTTGAGGCTTTCTTTAATCTATGAAAAAACTCAATCAAATTTAATCATTTCAAATATAAATTTATTCATCAAGCAGCCCTGCCAAAGAAGAAAATAAAATCGTATTATATAATTTTGGAGCGCCATCGCAATTTCTATATAAACCAAATTCCAAAACACCATTTTACACATATCACATCTTAAAATCTTCTCATTCATCAACGAAACGCAAAATCACTAGAGTTAAACGTTCTAAAGGCGGCCACAATGAAGAAGATGTTTTTTGTTCAAATGGCGACGGCGTGGCTGATCATCGCCGTGGTGGTCGTTGACGTTATGAAACACAATTCCATTATATATTACTATGGTAGCTGAATTATTCTCAGTCGTAGCGGCCATGGGTTTAGTGGTTAGAATCTAACTTTTGATTTCTCAACTTTTCTATATCTTCTCTATATGCTTGTTAATGTCATTATATGAAAGTTGATATGAGATTTTAAAATTTGGACAGATACAATTTTGGGTCCTCAAGAGACAAAACGACGAGGTCTTTAAGATCAATGCAAGGGCTCTCTCTATTACATGGTCGGATAACTCTGAATATTGGTCTTGGGTTCCTCTCCCAAACGAGAAACCAAAGTAAGAACTCCATAGTTTCATTAATATATAAATCTTCCGTTACAAAATGGAAATTTCCGGTCCATGCTCTTTCTAAATTAATTAGGTTTCATTTTATCCCATATTCTTAACAGATCCTAGTCATGTTCTTGTCTATTAATTGCATATTGGATTCATATAATGCTTTGAGTAAGCGAAGTTGTCCATATAGACCATTCTTCTAACATATAAACTTGTGTATGCAGTAGTGAGGAAGTCGTTGAAGCTGCCGTGTAGAATATGGTTTGCTGGTTAGATGTGTCGGGCAAGTTTGACACAAAAAACCTGCGCTTGGGGACAAAGTACGAGGTGATTTTTATGGTGAAGTTAGAGGATACCGCGAACGGATGGGATTGGGAACCAGTTAAGCTGAAGCTGGTCATGCCCAACGGTAGTGAGACACCASAAGAGCATAGTGTGAGTTTTGTGGAATACATTGGGAAGCAATGGATAGATATTCCGGCCGGTGAGTTCATGATGTCGAAGGAGAACGTTGGAGAGATCAGTTTCTCATTGTATGAGCATGATGCCAATATTTGGAGGTCAGGGCTTATTGTCAAAGGCGTTGTAATTCGTCCTAAACACTAAGTCTAAGGTATTTTGTATGTATTAATRTCATTACTCGCTGATTCTATGAAAACATGTATTCACGCTTTTATATTATACCATTTTTCACTTTTTGATATGTGATTCCGCTATTCTTAKTAATTATAATATCCGTCAAAATTTCACTTTTTATGTTTTTGGAAAAGCGATATCTCTATTTACTTGGACGTGGCAAAAATATAATTAGGAGAAACGAAACAACACTAATTATAAAAAAATTCAGCTTCTAGCGTGTGTTATTTTCAATGATTTAAATTTTATAAATGGATTGCAATGAATCAGAGGAATTTATCTTTGTCTATACATATAGACGGGTAAAAAYTGTATAATTATGTAACAAAATAAACAATGAAAACAGTAAAGCAAACAAAAACTCAGATGGATGCTTTACTTCATGAATTTTCCATCAACTTTTTATAATTATCTTCAAAGTTAAAACTCATCATGATTATTGATTTCTTATAACAAAAAGCTCATAATTAAATTTCACCTCTTTGTTCTCTGAAAAGAATAAGAGCAATTTATAAAATGTTAAAGAAAAAAAAAACTGGTCTAACAAAACCGAGCTTGTACAACTTGTTAATATGCATTATTTGGTTTCTATTCTAATTTTCTGGAAACTTTCATCAACAACATTTTTCACCAACTTTTGCAGCATATTCACTTGATTTATTTGGGAGACAAAAAAACTACTTGCAAAGTAATGCTCTTTTTT